ATGCTTTAAACAACAACGTCATCGATGGCCAACATGATTTGCTGCATGACTGCTATATGCCCAATGCTAGTCTTAGTGTTCTAATGTCACATAGTTAATCTTCTCACACACACACACACACACACACAAACAGAGTAAAGAAGGTTTACAGATTTGGAAACTGGGACCCTGAGAGATGCCATAACTTTGAGATCACGTGGCAGTTAGCAGGTGGTAGGGCCTGAGGCAAAAAAAAGGAACACTGACAAAAGTCAAGTCAGGGAAAGGAGGCCAGAGGACACCTGGGCAAGCAAAAGGGAACTTCTCCTCAAAGACATAAATGAAGAAATGCAAGTAAAGAAATCGTGAAGTGCAGGGGTGAACTTACAAAAAGCCTACCTTCCAGTGGCTCATTTTAGATCAAATGAAAAGAAAACTGCAGAACAAATTTTAAGTATGCATTCCAGTAACCCAAGAAGAATCCACAATATAGCTGTATATTTTCTTTCTGACAAATACTGCTGAAATGCTGTGAATATACTAAGTATTAGTTTAAGGTTCAAAAATAAAATTTCTCCTTTCATTCCTATTGTAGCCCACTATAGACTTCAAAAATACCTAATGAAAATTATGTGAATTTATATATTTAATCACCCTTATGATAAACGGAAATTTCCTGAAAATAAATACAGGAGCCAACTATCTCTGCATTAACACTAACTAGGTAAAAGTCTACAGCAATTTCTCCTTATGATTGCAAACAAACATTTTTATATAGTTCCAACAAAATGGAGACTAAATTCTCCTCATATTTCACTAGCAGGTATTTACAAATTTTGCAGAAACCTCATTCCTAACAACAGTTAATATTTCATTTCATTAAAAATACTATTTACTGATAGAATGAACTGATAAGGTGGATGAACAGTCTATCCAAATAAAGAATGGGTAAAAAAAAACATACTTTGATTGATTATAGTCTTCTGATTAGCTACTCAAAGCATTAATTTTAATTTCAGTTTTGCCTGATTAAGAAGGAATATATCTCAATACCTCTTGTTTAAATTCCAAGTGAAGTGTTTACAGTGTGAAACATGGAGCACCCTCTTCTGAAGTAAGAGCTTGTAAAATAAAAGATTTTCTTCTGTCCAAAAAAGGGTAAAGGCTACCTAACAAGAATGTAACTTAGGAAAATATCAGAGCACACTTCGACCTCAGTAACATCAAGGTCAAACTGTAGACTGCTTGAATGACCAAATTCACTTCACTGTAACTTCAGAATACCCAGAAGTGCAAAAAGAAGAAGGGGCTAAAAGATTCCCTGTTTATTAAGGGAGCTCAGCTTGTACCTTACACCACATACCTCACCTTATCATTCTAAATCAAAGGTCAGCAAACAAAGCCTGTGGCCCAAATCTCGCTCACAACTTGTTTCTGCAAATAAAGTTTTATTGGAGAGCAGCCAGCTTATGCATTTATGTAGTGTCCGCGGCAGCTCTCGTGGTAAAAGCAGACCTGCAGTTACAGCAGAGACCGTATGGCCCACAAGCCTGAATTACTTACTATCCGGCCAGCTTCTGCTCCACCTTCTAACGGGCTGAGGGATGCTGGCAAAGCCTCAATCCACTCACCTTAAAATGCACCATGTGAACCTGGGCCCCTGGGGTACAGACAGTGCACTCCCGTGGGATCAGTCCTCGGGGAGACACGCAGGGCACCAGCCTAATAAGGAATATCAGCCTAACTGTTCAGATCATCACAGGACTCAGAAAGGATTCTGCAAAATCAGCACTCCAACAACCAGGCTCCTAATATATCAATACAGGCTTTCAAATTGCCTCATTTGGTGAAACCTACGTATTTATTAATATAAAATTTTAGGCTTCAAAAAAAAAAGTTCTGCTCAATACAGCACAATGTTCAATTTGTAAAAACATATGGTCTACAGGAAGCACATGATCTTGCTGCAGTAATTCTCATTTACAAGGTCTCTGAACCACTTAATTCCAACTATTCTAAGAGAGGTTGTGCACACGCGCTCCTTACAGGCTTCTCTCACCCCATCTGAAAGCAGCTCCCTCAGACTTTCCTCCAATCCACCATATGTCAATGAAACACAATTTTGTTACAGCACAGATTGGAAGGCGGAAATCGCTCACTTGAAAAAAATATGGAAAAGAAACAGTGAATGAATGTGAATGGGAGCTAGGAAAACTGGACTGCAGTCCCTGCTCCTCCACTAACGTCAGACAACCCTGGATAAATTATTAAAATTTATCCATTTTAAATTGTGCCTCACTTTCCTCGTGTGCTACATTAGTGGTTCTCAACAAATTTTCTGTTTCTATAAGCTTCACGTATACATTTATGTCACAATTCTCAAAATATCCTGGAGTCACCCAATGTTTTTTAAAAGTCTC